GCCACACTTTATTTTGCCTCACTTCTTCTGCTGGAAATACTCACTATTCACAAGTCACCACGATGACCTGGATGACTGAGAACCTTTACAGACAATATCCATCAGGCTTCGACTCACAGCAGGTGATTGGATGAATTCTCTGTGTAGTTGAACTATGAGGAGAATCGAGCTTCTTTGTGAAAACGAGCCTCTCTGCGGTGCTTAAGCCCGATCTTGTTTCCACCTCGTCCCTTTTCTGTCATCTGTGCTGAATGTGGAGCGCTGTTTAAACACCCAAGGTCAGGATGAAGGTACACAGAGGGAAGGTCGCATAGCTGGGCTGAGCGTGCCTTTAGGGTGGGTTTTATAGGGTGGGTAACTATAGCAACAGTTCAGGCGCTGCTGCTCTTAAGACGACGTTTGCATCAGGTGGCGTCACAGGAATTCGTGAGATTTGTTTTCAGTAAAAGCAGAGAGTTCAGGTGTTTCCGTATGCGGCTGGCATGCTCCTGAACAACTCTTGGGTGATGTGTTTAGATGAGGAGGAGGCCCTGCAGCAGATCCAGGACTAAGCTCCAGCTAACTTACATCTGTGGGCAGAACCTCCCAGAAAGACCTGGGGGAGGTGGTTGATGTGAGCGAGGTCTGGACATTTCGGTAGCATCGAGCTAAAGTAAGGGCAGCAGAAGATGGAGCAGATTTTTCTTTTTTCATGAGGTTATTACGATTTTATAAGCTGCTCATAGTATTTTCATGTATAAATCTTAATCTGTAAAGTAACGAGTAACTGTATCGGCTGAAGAAATGCACTAACAGAGAATAAAGCATTAAATGGGCCAAACTTTCACTTTCATTCTTGAGGAAATCCACTTTCTCTCACTGAGTTAGAAGCAGCAGTTTTTGCACTTGCTGTTTTATTTCCGTGACTACTTTGACAATTTTATGTGCTACTATAATAGCCGCTTTAAGCTGTATTGTACCTCTCAGAGATTAAAGTGTCACGTTTATGTGCCAAAGTAGACATGAGGGCGAAACCGAAGGCCAGAAGCTGCCAAATCTGCATCACCAAACAAACTCGGGGCATGCAGTTTGGATGCACAGACTGATTACGGCATAAGCCGTCCACACTGTGCGTGTTTGTGTTTGTGTCAGAGGAGAGGGAAAAAATATGATTCAAGCTGAAAAGCGCTGATGTAACCAGAGGCTCGGGTTTAATCTGACATGTAATCCTCTTTTTATGAGATTGGACGCAATTCACATGTCGGCGGTTGAAGGAGCGCGTCAGTGTTGTGTTGTACAGTGAGGAGCGTTTGCAT